AACTCGACTTTTCCTCACACACAAATATATCTCAATCAATTATGATTTTTCTCTTGGCTCGACTTAGCCTTAAATAGATATGTTTTAGTCTTATCGACACACATTACCAACATATTATCATACAAATAATCATATATGTTTTTTTTGTTCACTTAGGAAACATTTTGTTACCTCTCGCTTGAGCTATATAAATTTCTTATTTTAGCTAGAATTTCTCATGAGCTAGAATTAAACCAAAAAACAACCTCATGGGAACTTGTCGCTTAAGCAAGAATTTGGTTACCCACTTTCCTCCTCGCAACACCTCACTTGATCGAAAACAATTTTGCTTAAGCGAGAAATAAACTAACTTAACTCTAGCTTGAACGAGAAAATTCTAACTTGAACAAACCATCACCGTCTTAAGTTACCCCTTTCATCATTTTATCCTCGTTTAAACGACACATGTCTTTCTTGAGAAATACATATCTAAATAAAAAGTTTTGCCCAATTTTTAAGTATTTATCATCTCAATATCTAACAATGTAACTCATTTGTACCATAATCATTCGACATAGATATTATAAAATACCAAAACAACATAAACATATTTTCTAATTTCATTTCAATGTTCCAATATACATCCCATCACACATATACTTTGAACCAAATATTTTACTACATTAGTAAGTAACTCTTCTAACTTGAATATTCTTAAATCTTAACTTCTTTTGGTATTTCTGTAACCTGGTATTTCTGTAACCCACGGTCAATAATCTTGTTTCAAAACCTGGACAATACTCCCATATAACCAGAATAAACATTACAAGCTTATTATCTCCCTTAAACTTAGAAATATCCATTAGCAAATAGAGGAAATAACTTACACATTCAAAATTCTGTTTGGACAAATTTACTCCTTATCATTTCAACTTTCTCTATCAATTCCAGATCTAAAATTCACGAGTTTTAATATATTGGATTTAGAGATAAACTAAAGAGTTCTATTTTAGAGAAATAAATATTTATAAAACCAACCCAACTTAATCCTTCATATTTGATTTTCAACGTTTAATTATCACCAATTTGTAAACCTTTTACCCTTTTTTCAATTAAGTATATTTATTAATAGTTACTAACTATTTTTTTTTTTAACATTTGATTTGAATAGTTTAGTTCCTTTAATAGACCTAGGCCTGAAAAGGTGGAAAAATACCTGAATTTATAGAAAAAATATTTCACAAATGTAACAATTATTTAAAGAGATATAGCTATTATCTAAAAACTAATTATTTATATAAAAAATATATTAAATTAATTTTAATTTTTTAAGGTAAATTATTAATATAAATTATATATGGGTTAGAGACATACTTTGATCTGAACAGATAATTTCAATTTACTTGAATTCTTTTTTTTTCCTTTTGGTGTTTTTATCTGGGTTTAGGTTGATTTTGATCTGGTGATAAAATTTATTATTAAAATAATAAAAAATTAAAAAATAAAATTGATATCGTTCTAATTATTGTGAAAAATATAAAATTACAATATTATAAAAGAAAAACACTATTAAAATTGCAAACAATTTATTGTTTATTAACACAAACACTTAACAAAAACGTAATATCAATTCTAAGACTGATGTGAATAGTGAAATAGGTGAAAGATGGAAACTTTTTTATAAATTAAGCCTAGAAAACATGTTAAAAACATGTTTAGAAGATTGTGATTGCATCTTATTGTATTTTTTATTATAAAATACTAGCCAAACACCACTTTAATTAGAATGAATGGATTGTTGAACTCTAAAGCATGTATAAAACATAAACCAATGAATACCACTCACCAAAATAAAGGTTCCCAAACATGGAGCATTGAGTGTTTGGCTCTTGTTACCACTTGGCAAGTGATTCTTAAAGAATGTTATTGAGGGGACAAAAACACAAAAGAATTCTAAAAGTATAAAGTGGAAAATATCTAACAATTTGTTTAGTGGATAATAATCTTCCCAATATTGTGTTGCAATCATGAGTTTGGAATTTGCATAATGGTGCGAAATATTTATTTTTTATTTGATTGATAATTAATTTTATGTGAGAACAACTAATGTATTTTCATAAGTTTTCTATGTATAAGAATAAAAACATTTTTCGATTATAAAATCATAAAAATGTTAAATTAGATAGAAGGTAAGAATAAGATATATAAAATTAATCTTTATTTATTCTCACTTTCACTAATACATATTTATATTTAATTTAATTGTTAATATTAATATTATTTTAATTACATATCAAAATTACTATTATGATCATTGTAATGATTATTAAGATTATTAATATTTTTATTATTACTGTTATTTTATGTTCGTGTCAACGTATTTTATGTTCGTGTCAACTTATTATTGTAATTTGCTTATTTAGTTTTTTATCATATTTTAATTGAGGGTGTGACATCCCTTGTTAGAATTAGAATTTAACAAAACAAAATTTTGTTAATTTCTTTTGAAGAATTTAATAAAAAGGTTACCAAAATAGTCATAAGTTTACAATAAAATTATGAAAAGAAAGTAAATCAAGATGAAAAATACTAAATTAAAATATATTAAACTCGATTTGTTTTAAATATAAATAAATAATTTAAAAACAAAAAATTAAAAAATATATATTAAATATTTTTAATATAAAATAGAACTACAAATATATACACAAAATATATCATCACACCTTATATACAAATGCTTTCGTGCCTAAAGAGATAGTGAAGTGAAGTATGTTTGATCCGTGAGAGTAGCATTGGGTTTGAGCATAGTAAGATGCACTCATGTTCTCACAAAGAAGATGAGGTAAGCATTAATTGTATGACAGGGGAAACAACCTAGTATTTTGCTTCTATGGAGGATTCACAATTGTTCATTATTTATTTCACAATCATGATATGGGGTTACCACCAAAGAAGATGGTGCAGGCCAACGTAGAGTTTTTCTCATCAAAATTTCCAGGCGTATGAAAAGATATCTAATTATATCTTAATGATAATTATATCCACTTATATATTATATAATATTATTATATTTTTAAGAAATATTGAATTTTATTATATTTTTTCATTTTTGGAAATTTTTTAATAATTTTAATATTATATTAATAATAAAAATATATATAACTCAATTTTATAAAATTAATATAATAAGATGAGAACTGTATTTAGGATTTGACGACAAACTTAAAAAGTCACAACCAAATTCTTTATATTCAATCATTTTGAATAACATTTTCACACTCTGTTTTATCGTGATTGTTAATACAAAGTTAGTCGATATTTATTTTTTTATACTATCATTACTTCTTCTTTGAGAAAAGAAGTTCATGAACCGTGAGTGTTCTACTTTCATGCAATAAGCTATTGTCTTACCAACTAATCAGACCCTATACTACCATTAATATATATATATATATATATATATATATATATATATATATATATATATATATATATATATATATATATATAGTAAATAAATAAAGTAAAAATTTGAGAAGAGATAAATAAAGAATAAGAGATTAATAAGGTAAAAATCTTGAAATATATATAATAAATATTTATTACGATAAAAAATTTTATTGAATGAATATTATGTTTTAATCTAATATTAAACTTATAAACATCAAATCTAACTTTTTTTTCTTTTTTACAATGAGACTTTATATTTTTTTAATTTTATTTTAAATATAATTAACTTTTTTAATTAAATCATATATTATATTATATTTATTCTAGAAAAGACAGGACATTATAATATTTGAAATTATTAAAGTATGTATCTCTGTATCCTAACATTAACACACTTTTATGTTCTGAAGTGGTAAAGTGAACGTTATAGAAAAGAAAAGTGCTAAAGTGAAATATTTAAAATGCATCCTTTTTGCCTTACTACAAGTTGTAATTTTTTTAAACCCATTACAAGTTGTGTCTTAACTTTTGATGTCACTTTTCCAGTAATGTCTTAATTCAAATTGTATCATATCTTTTGTTTACAAGAACTTTAAATCCAGTAATTATTCACTAACCATTTCTATTTTTTTTTTCTTATTATAACATCTATAGACTATAATGTCTTATTGTTATCTTAATCTTAAATGTCGTCACACAAATTTAAACATTTTTTACATTTATTTTATATATTAATATTTAAAATAATTTTTTTATTAATGTCTTTTCTTTATACAAATTTTTTTTTATGAAACATTCTCTTACTCAGTCAATTAATTTTCAACAAACAATTCTACAATACAAAAATTATATATGTATTACTTTTAAAAATTTGATTTTAATCTTTAGATTAAAATGAACATGTATTTGTTTTCTTGATAATGATCATTCTAATCCGATTGATGTATGTTGTTTGAAATGATGCCGATTCGATAGAACCACTTAGATTGAATGAAGCATGAAAGGTCAATTATTTTGAAATCTGAGATATTATTTTTCTTTCAACCCTTCGTTAACAAGAAATATGCTTACAAAATTTCGACCTTCAAATTAAAATATATATAACCATCTTAATTATTATAATTGTTTATGGTCTTCATTTTTATATATGGTATTCAACTTCATAATTTTTAATTAACCTGAGATTTAGACTCAGATTTTCCATCAAGGTTACGAGGTTTTTATCAAAGAATGTACTCAGTAAGCTTTCAGTTCACTTTCTTTTCGTTGAACTCACAAAAAATCCATCCAATAAAATCTCAATATAAGAATTGGGTTCGGATCCTCTCCTCTAAGAAATCAATACTATGATGTCATCTTATGAGTCACGAAAGCACAAAATAATTATAATAAAAACCATTTGTGTAGGTTCCCATTAATATTGTGTCTTTCTCAATATTTAAATATAGCAACTTGTAAAGGCCTAAAGGGAGAAGAGTGAGGTGAAGAGTTCTATATAAGGGTTGGATATGTGGTCATGTAACCACAACCCAAACCCACTGAAATTCCCAGAGGCAAAAAATCACAACATGACCAAGTTTCTTCTGATTTTCCTATTCTTGGGACTTCTCAAATGTGAAGCACAGTCTAATGGCAACCCATATGATTACCTAGAACTAGCCTTAAGGTGGCCAAACTCTTATTGCTTGACACATGATGGTGGTTGCAGGGAAATAATTCCCCAATATTTCACTATTAGCTTCCTTCGTCCAAGGAAAAGGGGAGGACCTGATATGCAATATTGTCCCTCGCCCTTTACTATGCCAAATAGCACTGTTAGTATATATCTCTCTTCCATTCCCATACATACTGGAAGTATATGTATAGTTATAACATGTTGAATAGTTCTTCTATATATTTTGGTATTCATGCAGATGGAGACAAACAAAAACGACCTGCTAAAATTCTGGCCTGATCTGAGAACTGATAATTTCATAGAGAGCAAGTTATTATGGAGGGACCAATGGAAGAAGTTTGCATCCTGCTATAACATGATGCCAGATGACTATATCGGTTATGCCCTCAACAATAGAAAGAGAAATGACTTCAAAAAAATCTTGACAAGTGCAGGTAAATGAAAATGGCTTCATACTACGTTTGTGTAAAGAACATCCTAAATATGTATACAATTGTGTTGTTATTGTCAGGTATTGTTGCGAGCGGAAATCCATATCCCACACGTAGGATACTGCAAGCTTTCAGGAAAGCTTTAGGTGTGAATGTGGACATAGTGTGTGAGCCAGACAGAAGTGGCAGTGTGTATCTTGCAGAGGTTCGTCAATGTCTTGATGTTGCTGGAACAACGCCTATAGATTGTGACAATATAGCAAGAGGGTGTGACGATGACCCCATCTTTCCTTATATGGGATTCCAACCTGACAAAGATCCCAAGTAATATAACACCATGCAATCATAGTCACCTAAGTTGTATTACCCCTAAAAGAATCACAAAATAAGGGGCTCTAAGTGTATGTTAAGGAAGTAATTAATAAAATAAAATTTTGAATAAACTTCAGAAATTATTTTATCTATTTATGTATAAAACAATAACTTTTAGCCTGTGATAATTATAGGAGTTTTTTTTTTTTTATGAATAATTTTGGAGACTGGTTGATCTTAATTAAGAGATATGTAATAGATTAACACAATGAATATAAAAAAATAACACAAAATATACATGTATATAACCAAGTGATCCTTTAAAACCCGAGAAAGGTAGAATAAATTAGAATTTACAATAAAGATGGGTGTTGTTGGGATAAAACTAAACACGAAAACAGATAGAGAGAATAAAAGAGATTGAACTGATAATAGTGGAGAGATTCTCATTCACTATGAGAATATATACATAAATAAAATTTTATAACGATATTTCAGTTAACATCTTAATAAAATAATTATTTATTTTGGATTATCATATAGAACTCATCTTTAATCTAAAATATTCATTAAACTTTGTTTCTAATAAATCTCTCAATTTGGTAAGTGATTCAATAAAAACATTTGGCACTTGATCTTTATTGTAGCCATACACCAATTTCAATTTGCCTTTGCTTACTTAATCTCATAGAAATTGAAACTTCATTTTTATACGATTGTTTCTGTCACGAGATACTAAATTTCTAGACAATTTATTGTCAACAAATAATTATATTGATTTTTCATACTTCAAATTTGGTTTTTTTACCGTGTCTCTAACCATAATCTCTTACAAGCAACTTTTGCAAATGGTATGTACTTTGTCTCACATGAAGAAAGTACTACAATACAATACCTAGTATCTTTAAACATCAAGAACAAATTTGTATATTTAGATACTTGAATAAATATTCAAATGTGTTTCTTTGTCACCACACCAATTAAAACTAAGATAGGATTTTATATTTGTTTCAATTTGATCATGTCCTTCTTGTTATAGCACTTCGTAGTCATGTCTTTCTGATATCTCAAGAACATGTTTAGGTGCAACCAAACATCCTAAAATCACTCATAAATCTATTAACCAACCTAATTCTATAGCTAAATATATAAGATCCTGACGACTCTATAATTTGTTTAAACAATGTTATATATCTACAATTTTCTCATCTAATTTTTAAGTTAACTCTAAATTTTCTATTACAGGGGCAGGTATAGCATTAATATTTCTCATTTTCAATTTTTCCAGTACTTCACAAGTATACCTCTTTGACGTAAAAATACTTTCATACTAGTGTGTATAAACTCAAGAACAAGAAAATAATTAAGAATTCCTAAGTCAGACATTTCAAATTTTGATTTCATCCTCCTCCCTTGATTCCTCAAGTTAAGTCTACTCCCTTTGAATCCTCGCGGATTTCCTTTATACGTATACACCAAATTCCATTATATATTTTAGAAAGCCTTATTTGGACAACAAACTTATTCCAAATTTGAGGGACTTATTTATGGTCATATAAGGTCTTTTTCAATTTATACACATCATTTTTTTTTCCATGATTTCAAATCCTTCCTCTAAACACTAATATAAAGAGCATTTTACACCATGATACCATATTGGTAGCCTATAATAAAAGATATAATGACATTTTTGTAAATATTAAAACAGATTTTATATCAGTTGCTATAGCAACCAATGTAGTATGTAAGATACTACATTTGTTACAACAATCGATGTAATATCTCCTTTTTAAAATGTAAATCTTCTTCTTTGTTGCACCTTGAAGAGAAATATGGAAATGCTCCATTGCATTCTAGCTTTTCCACCACTATTTTGTGTCATCTTTTGTCACCGCCAACGCCATCCTTTGTGCACCACCATTTGACACATGTGTCATCATCCTTCTTTGTGTGGGTGTGCTTTTCTCCGTTGTGACGTACTTTTCTCTGTTTCATTATGCATTCATTTTCTCTTTTCTGTGTATGTTAGGGATTCTTTCCTATTCATTTGTCTTTATCTTGTAGTTGTAACTCTTGTATTCTTTTGATTTGAGTTTGTCACCCTTACGAAATCGAGAATCGAAAAATCGCTGCCTGGGAATTCTTGAAACCCTAAGTCTTTGTTGTTGTTATGAATCTCTATTTTTCAGCCTCTCTTTTTGGATTCTCAAGTTGTCGCAGCATATTACTAGTGCCTCCTCTGCCAATGCCTCTCCACCAATGCCTCCTTCATAGCTTTGCCTGCCGCTAGTGTATCCTCTGCAGCATCGCGTGTCTCCATAGCATCCTCTATAGTTTCGTGTGCCACCATTGCCAGCACAACTTTGTGTGCCACCATTGAGAAAGAAGACAATGCATACAAAATGCAAAAAGAATGAAAACTATATATTGGTTCTGTTTATAACCGATGTTATATATTCTACATCGTCTGATTTTACATTAGTTTCCAAATCAATGTAAAATGTGTATATTAATGATCTAAAAAATGGTTATCCCATTAGTTAGGGCCATTGAGAAAAGTTGACTTAACAATCACGTTTTTACATAAGTCAACTTTTGGAACTAGCAATAACAATCACTAGTCCAACTATTTCCATTCTTACAACTAGTATATATACTTTCATGTAATCAATTTCTTGTTTGGGAAAGAAGTCTTTCGCTATTAACTTAGCTTTGTGTTTCATGAGACTTAAACTTGACCTTAAATACTCACACCATATAAATAGGATGTTTAATAAATAATAAAAAAATATGAAAAGGTGAGAGTATATAAAATATTTTTTTAACGTAAGAGAATATAAAATATTTATTTATTGAATAAATTTTCTCAAGAATGGATAATGGTGACAGAAAAAAAAATATGGAACACTCTGAGCATGCTCAATATTCCTACTTCGGGTAATTACTTCACTTGGTCTAATGGCAGAAGGGGGGAGCAGAGAATTGAAATGAAGTTTGATAGAGCTGTTTGCAATCTGGATTGTGTGGATAAATGGCCTGACATACACCGCCATACTTTAATCAAGAGTTATTCAGACCATTTTTCCTATCATGGTTTCTATAGGGTAAATATCTCCTGCAAAGAGGTCTCCTTTCAAGTTCTTGTCCATGTGGAATGAGCACCAGGACTTAAAGGATTTGATCAAGATCATTTGGAATGAAAATGAAGTTGGACGCCCCATGTACATTCTACAGCAAAAGCTGAAGAAATTGAAAAATGCTTTGAAGACCTGGAATAAAACTATCTTTGGGAATGTGCAGGATAATATTACAAAAATATGAAGGAACCAGAATATATTCATTCTCGGGATAATGAGATTGGTGTTGATGATGAGTTACTCAAACAACAGGAAAAGGCTCAGCAGGATCTTAATCAGGCTTTGCACTATGAAGAAATGTTTTGGATAGAAAAAGCCAAATTGAACTGGTTTCCTGCTGGAGATAGAAACACCAAAATTTTCCAATTAATTGTTAAACACAGGCGCAACACAAATCTTATAACCAGGATCAAAGATGGTGAGACAATTCTCGATGACAATAAACTAATTGAAAAACATATTCTGAGATATTACATTGATCTATTTGCCTCTGGAAATCAGGTTTGTATTAGTATATTATTGATGAATTGATTCCTAAACTTGAGACTGATCAGTAAAACAATTTTCTCACTGCCATTTCCCATGAGGATGAAATTAGGCTAGTTGTGTTTAATATGCATGGCAGCAATGCTCCTGGTCCAGATGGATTTGGTGGTAGATTTTACCAATTTAACAGGGATATTGTTGGTCATGATGTGGTTGCTGCAGTCATCCAATTTTTTAAAAATGGTTAGATTCTCCCTGGCATGAACTCTAGTGTCATTTCTCTTATAACTAAAGTGGTTGGTGCTGAAAAAATATGCAAGATTAGGCCTATTGCGGTTGCCAATTTTCGATTCAAAATCATTACTAAAATATTTGCTAATAGGCTGGCCAATATTGCATCTAGAATCATATCTGTTCAGCAAAATTGGTTTATTAAGGGTAGGCACATCAGAGATCGTATTTGCATTAGGAAAGCATTTGATACACTTACATGGAATTTTCTGGGATTAGTTCTTAAGCAGTTTGGTTTCCATGTTAAATTTTTTGAAGTGATTAAAATAATTATTTTATCTGCAAAACTTGCCATCAATGTGAATGGGAGTTTAGTGGGTTATTTTAATTGTAAGAGAGGAGTAAGGCAGGGAGACCCTATCTCCTTTACTTTCTTGTAAAGCAGAAGATGTTCTCAGCCGTGGTTTCCTGAAGTTTTGGTGCAAGACAAAAAAATCCTTCACATGGGTAGTCCTAACGGTATGCCATTTCCTACACATGTTTTATTTGCAGATGACATATTTCTATCTTTAGAGCTAATAAGTCTAGACTAAAAAATCTAAAGGAGTTGCTGGAGAGATATGGCATGGCCTCAGGTCAATATGTGACTGCTGATAAGAGCCAATTTTTCACTGCTGGCAACTCTGCTGAGTCCTTTAATTCTAATATCAAGTCTGTCCTATAGTTTAACAGAGGATATCTTCCTCTTGTGTATCTGGGGGTCCTTATTTTCAAAGGTGCTCGATATAGTCAACTTATCTCTTGGAAAGGCAAATTTTTAAGCATGATGGGGAGAGTGCAGCTGGTCAATTCTGTTGTTGGTGGCAAAATATTTTACAGCGTTCAAGTCTGTAAGTGGCCTGCACAACTTATCAAAGAAATGGAAAGATGGACTAGAAATTTCGTTTGGACTGGGGATGTTAACCGAAGGAAACATATTACTGTCAATTGGCACTAGAGAGGAAGGTGGGTTAGGGGTTGTCTCCCTCAACCATTTGAATTCAGCTGCTATACTCAAGCTTACCTGGGATATGTCATATAGCTCTGTGACGTGGGCTAATCTGTTTCAGGATAGATTCATGAAGAATGGAAATGCTAATTAGTCCTCCTATAAATCTTCCTCCATTTGGCACAGCTCTTTCCAATTTTCAGCAAACTGTTCGGGATGGCACTCACTGTATTGTGGGTAAGGGTGATAATATTAACTTCTGGACTGATAATTGGGGCAAAGACGAATCACTGACTCACATCCTCTGTATCAATGCTTCTAATTCTAACAGTATAAAGCTGACATCTAAGGTTGCTGATGCTTGGAGAAACAATGCCTGGAACATTCTTTCTTGACTGTATGAGAAAATTGTTGTTCAACATCATAATAGTGAGAGTTTGTACCATATATAAATGTTCAGTTTTAATTTGAATAATATTCTTGTTTAACAGTAGATGTAGTCGTAGGGAGTTTGTTTTGAATCATGATTTTTCTCTTTCTACTACCGATAGCCTTTAATTTTGTTAAGTGGGTTATTTCACATTACATAGTATATTGATTGGCTATTTAAAGTCAATATTGCCATTAATAAAATTGAGTCATTTTCAGTTCTAAGTTGTTATATTTTTTCAGTTTTATTCTTAACAATCTCGTATCAGAGCCCCTACTCCGTTTGATAGAAAGTTGTTGTCTTTGCCATTTTGGATCATCATAGAAAATGACTACAGAAGGGAGTTTCTTTCAACCAACTATTCCCCATTTCATGGTCATTATAACCATTGAAGCATATTAATGAAAAATTTCCTTCCATCTAAGAAATATTGGGAGTTGATTGATCTTGGATATGTAGCTCTAGCAAGCGGAATAATACCACCAGAATCACAACAAAAGAAGAATGATGAGATAAAGTTGAAAGATCCAAGAGTAAAGAATTATCTTTTCTAATCAATTGATCAAACTGGCCTTGACACTAACAAGGGCACCTCTAAAGAAATATGGGATGTTATGAAGAAGAATTTTGAAATGAAAAGGTCTCATCTTCAAACTATTTATAGAGAAATTGAAGTTTTTGAGATGAAGTTTGGTGAAGGATTGACAAAGTTCTTCTCTAGTGTCATGTTGCCAATAAAATGTGTATTTATGGACAAGATATGTCATATGTTAAAGTGGTAAAAAAAAATTGTGCTTATTAATTGAAAAGTATAACTATATTGTATGTTCAATTGAGGAATCAAAGGACATTGATACCCTTCTATTAAGGAGTTGTAGAGTTAGTTGATAGAACATGAACAAAAATTCCTAAGGAACAATGGTGAAGAACAAACTTTGAAGAGCTTTGAAGGAGAAAGGGGTTGTGGTTGAGGTAGAGGAAGAGAAAGGGGAAGAGAAAGAGGTAGAGTTCGAGCAAACTTTAGCAAGGGCAACTATCGAATGTTATCAATGTCATCAACTTGGGAATTTTTTCTATGAATGTCCTCATAATAAAGAAGCACATTATGCAAAGATTGGTGATGAAGAAGAAATGTTTTTGATATTCTATATGGAGATGTATGGGCTAAAAGAGAAGATGCTTGATTTCTGAACTCGGGAAATTTCAATCACATGCATAGTAATCTATCTCTATTTAATGAAATTGATGAAAAATTCTACCATTATGTAAATTTAGGGAATAACTCCAAGATGAATGTGATGGGAATAGGAAATGTGAAATTGTTGCTCAATGAAGTTAATTTTATTGTTACTTATGTCTGTTATATCTCTGAGTTGAATAATAATTTATTAAGTATTGGACAATTGCAAAGGTTTGGTGGTTTTGATTAAGGAAGGAATTTGTAAGATATTTCATCCAAATAAAAATTTCGTAATTCAAATCAACATGAGTGCTAATATAAAGTTTGTATTATTGCCTTAGCCACAATCTAGTCAATGTTTTCATATTTATCTCAACTTTGGCATCGGGTTATGGGCATTTCAACTACATTAATGGAAAACAACATTGTGATTCTACTCTAAAGAAAAGTAATTGGAGAACAACATAACAATTGGAACTTGTTCATACAAATATATGTGATCCTATAACTCCAATATCCAACCATAATAAGAGGTACATTTTTTTATTTATTCATGATTATCGTAGAAGAGCATGGGTATACTCTTTGGTAGAGAATTCATAAGCTTTACATATTTTAAAACCCTTTAAGAATAGGGTTGAGAAGGAAGCTGAAATGTTTATTAAGTGCCTACAAAGTGACAGAGGAGGAGAATTCAACTCAAATGAGTTCAATGACTTTTGAAAATACAATGGGATGAAGAGGCAATTAACCACTGGTTATACTTCGCACCAAGACAGTCTTGTTGAAAGGAAAAACTGAGTTATGATGAACATGGTTCGTTCCATGCTGTCTAAGAAAAATATTCTGAAAGATTTCTAACCAGAGGCATTGAATTGGACTATCTATGTTTTGAATAAGTGTACTACATTAGTAGTCAAGGATGTAACACCAGAGAAAGCATGGAGTGGCATCAAACCTATAGTGGATCACTTTCAAGTCTTTAGCTACATTACTCATATTCATGTTCCAGAAGCAAGGAGGAATAAACTTGATAATAGAAGTATTTCTTGTGTATTGTTGTGTGTTAACGAGGAATCCAAGGTTTACAAACTATTTGATCTTATTACTATGAAACTTAGTTATTATCCATAGAGATGTGATTTTTGAAGAATAGAAGTAATGGAATTAGGAATAAAAACATATTGGTGTTGAACATACAAGGATATGATGCCCGAAGATTTTGATGATGTTTCAGAGTCAAAGGACTTCAAGATTAAAAGACTCATATATAGTTGTATCTACTTGTAATAACCATGTTTTATTATATTGAGTCTGTTAAAATAGAGTCCATGTAGTCAGCACATAGTTCATCCTTTGACAGTTCTTTTTTATCAAAACCACTCTGTGATAATCGATCATCACCCAGGATAATCGGTCATCACCCAGGATAATCGATTATCCTGCTTGAAACTTGTTTTTGAAAAACTTGCTGCAATAATCTATTATCTGGGTTGATAATCGATTATCCTAGTTAATTTTGGTTTCTGAAAGTTTTGGAATAATCGATTATCTTAGAGGATAATTGATTATCCTGGTCCAGATTTCACTTTGCGAAAATATGTTCTGTAATAATCAATTATCACTTATGATAATCGATCATCTACGTTTGTTATGATTTTGAAATTCAAATTTGGACCTATTTTCGATGCATCTATTCCCCATACCCTAAATCTCTCTATCTAAGGTTCTCTTAGGCT